AGGAGGGTAGAGTAGATTTTTGTGGATGACCTGCTGCTCTCCCATAATGCTGGCATTACTGGAATAAACGCTCATATACAGTTCAACCCTGCCTCTGCTTAATTAGCTCAAGTATTGACAGGCAGCTCAGACCCATTTGTTGTCTGGTTTCATGATCAGGATGAAATGTGACCATTTTGATAAGGTGTTTATGTTATCATCCATCACTAGATATTAATAGGAAGAGACCAATAGGGGACATTGTTAAGCATAGTCAGCTGAGAAATGGGGAGCATGAGTCTGTTTGTTTCACCAGGAAGCTACAGCTTCACACAATCCAGGGGATCTCAGCATTGTCCCTCAAAGGGAATTAACACCCCTCCCTTCAACCACCTGGTACCAGGATTGTGGAGGGAGAAGGGGGAGGAAAGCACATGCAATAGAGGTCAAAATAGTGAGGAGGGGTGTGCTTGACCATAGAAGCCTGTCAAGTCTAACCTGGAAAAGGGATGGACCCATCAGAAGCCCTGAAAAGCTTGGAAAGTTCGTTGGTTATTTTGGAAAAGCTCTTGGTAAAAACCCCAGGGGAACAAGGAAGTTCTTTCTTTCTGTCTTTCTGTTTCTCTCTCTGTCTCTCTGCCCCCCAGCCCGGAACACATGACCATGACCAACTGGGGCCCGAAGCAGACTGCTCAGGCTCCAAAGGACTAAGCTTTAATATGAAGCAGAAACTCTGGACACTAGCCTTTGTCTTTGCCTTGATGAAGACAAGATTGGACTTTTTCTATGGCAGGATTGATGGACATGGGACATTGGAGGCCCAGGAAGAGCACCCCTTTATTTTGCATCACAAATAAATTTTGCCACACCACAATCTCCTATACATGGGTCCTCAGAATGCTTTCCTCGAGATCCTGTGGAAGAACCCGATTTCCACCGGCAACATTTATAATAATAGTAGCTGCCTTTAATAAGAACCCAAGAGACCTCAGCTATTGTGTTATTTTAGTAATTAGAGGTAGAGCTGGTGGAGAGAGTGAGGAGTCAAGGATAACACTTAAGTTTCTGTTTGGGCCCCTGGGGGGGTGGGGTAGAGGTAAAGAAGATGTGGGAGATGCAAACGAGGGGAAGACGCTGCATTCAGCACAGGTGGGAAGTTTGGGGCCAGATATCCAGAGGGTCATAGGAGATACTGGCCTGGGCTTCAGGAGCACATGCCAGGCTGGTGACAAGTTTGGGAGTTCTTCGCAAGCAGATGGTGGCTGCACCATGTGATCCACGTGAGGAAGAGAGAATGGTTTCTAAGGGGAGCCTAAGAAGTACCACGTGAGTTTGGATTTCCCCTGAAGCAAACTCTGAGTCAAGCACTCCAGGATAAGTAGTTTATCTGGGAGATGGCTTTGAGCAACACCAGGAAGGGAGTGGGGAAGTGAGCAGGGAACAGGTTCCTAGAGGCAGAGCTGGAGACAGGATCTGAATGCATGGGCTTTATAGGGGGTGAGGGGAGAGGTCAGAGAGAAAGGGGCAATGGTGAGCTGTAAACAGCCTACATTCACAGCAGCCAGGGAAGGTGCCGGAGCCCTGGAAAGGGGGTCTGGGTGTGGCACCCACAGCACTTAGGAAGAAAGAAATATAGGATGTGATAATTAGCAAGTAACTGGGGCACGACCCTGCTGGGGGGCCTCTGGGAGGCAGAATAGAAGACATACCTGAGCTATTACATCCCAGACCTGGGCAGGGTATTTGTACTCTAACTCCTGCCAGTCTTTGGTCCAGGACTTCTCAGGGTGTGTTAATCTTTGGCACTTCTGGCTAGGGGGCAAAGTGGACTCTAGAGACCAGAGACAGCCCCCACGGGAAGACCTGTGGGGGATCCATGTGCTGGAGGCCCAGTGGGCATGCAGGCACAGTGGTTAGGGCATGAGATGTAGACAAGGCAAAATAAGAGTCTGCTACAGCAATCCTTAAAGCAGACACGAAAACAACAGAGAAGGAGCAGACAGAGGCGGGAGGAAAATCGAAAGAGGTAGGGAGCCAGAGGACCCATTTGTGTGGACAGTCACTGGGCAATACATCTTAAGCACACATGTGCATCCCTTCCATTGTGTCTGTACTTTATACCGACAGCCTGCCAGGAGCCACTCCAAAAAGCCCAAGGCGGGTCTCTGTTGAGCCACTCACACACGGTCTGGTCCAGCGGGTCCAGGCCAGGCCCCCCTCCCCCATAGGGGGTGGTGTGTGGTGTTGGGGGCGGGGGCTGGAGAAGTGGAGCTCACATTTGTGGTTGGCCACCATGAGGGGCTGGAAACCTTCCCTGGAAAATAATGAGCGGAGAAACCTTTACTGTGGTTACATCCCGGACAATCCAGGGCTGCACGCGGGAGCGGCTCTGGGTCTGGCCGCAGGTTTGCCTGTGCCTGCCGCACGGACAGGGCGCCCGCGGACGCGGGCTCAGGCCGGCTCGCTCTCCTTTCCGAGTCTTCTAAACGACCAGAAGCCTTTCCCCACCTCGGGGGGCTCTGAGCCAAGCGCTTATCCGGGCTGAGCCGCTGCTTTCCCGTTCTCAGGGGTTGGGGGCGCCGAGCACAGTCTCGCTCCAGAGGACCCTGGATCCCCAGCAGCAGCTGGGGTGGGAGTGAAGCTCGGATTCTCCGGGCGGAGGGCGGGGCGGTATGAAAAGCGATTCTCACCGGGGAGGGAGCAGTGAAAGTGCTGCGAAAAGGAAGGGGTGCCAGGGTTCAGCTCTGCGCGCCCCCACTCCCGTCCTGGCAGATGGGACCAGAGGAAGCGTTAGGGGCACTCCCATCTTGGAACTGCAGGGTCCCCTTAGGGCTCCAACTCGGGCTTCTTCCCCCAGGTCTCTCTCTGCTTCGCTTTCCGGGGTTCTCTCTCCGTGTCCAGTGTGAGCAGGTTAATAAGCCTCAGTTTCTCTCATCTGGAGATGGGTTTTGTAGGCTCCTTCCGAAGTGCTCTTGGCACTGTGTGGCGGTCGCCGTGCGGGGGGACCGAAGTTGGCCATCCACTTGGGGTTTTTGGGTGATCTCTCGCCGCCCCTGGCAGGGGCCCGGGGAGGGAGACTCCAAGACCCTGGCCCAAAGCCGATAACGACGCGGGCGTCTAACGCCACCCCCGCCCCAGAGCAATTCAAAGGACAATTATCCCAAAGGAAAGTTATTGTTTTGCTAATCCTGGGAACAGCTTGCGAGGGGAGATTTGGGTCTTTCTTTAATATCTGAGAGTTAATGCTCAGCCTTTAGTAATTATCTTCATCGGAAGCCCCGCGTTTAATCTGCATGTTCAGCAGAGGACCCACTCGAGGGCGCGGGGCACAGGGAGACGGACACCTGCTCCGCTGGGTCCGGCTGCGGCGCGAGCGCGGGTGAGCCGCCCGCGCCCCTGCGG